ACATAGCCTTTTCTCAGGGCAAGATGGAAAGCAAATCGGTACACAAAGGTGCATTTAAAGAAAGGCATCAAGTGGTAAGGAAAGACATGAAAGCATTGGGGGAATCAAGGAATACATCCTGGAAGAAATGATCCATGAGCAAGGTCTCCAGGGGTGGTTAAGATGTCATGGAGCAAGATACGAAAAGCATCACAGAGCGATTATAACAACTGGTATTTATCAGTTGCTTGCTAAGCACCAGGCATTGTGCCAAGCACTTTACCTACCTTACCTTATTTAATCCTCATTGCAAACTTATGCAGGAGGAGCTATTGTCACCTGGAATTTACAAATGGGCAAGCTAGGCTTTGGTTCCCATACCACCCACGGCATGCAGGTCCTGTGTGCAGAGCTAGGCAGAGAGGAGGCAGCTGACTCCATATGTCATTCTCTTAACCACTACCATGTTCCATGACCCAGCAGACATGAGGCTCAGAGATGTATAAGGGCTGTGACATTTTTGCAAATAATGCAAGTATTGTGCAAATGACAGGGCAAGGTGTCCAGGGAAGGATATAGACCAGGGGAAGATACTACATGAAGTGTTAGAATCTGGCAGTGACTTAGTGCAAGTCAACTCATTCATTTTGAATGAGTCAAATTAGGAAAGGATGCCCTAGTCACACAGTTGATAGTGGCAAGTGGATTAAAGGTCCAGATCCCAGGCAGAGCCCTTTCCAACATGGACAATTGGAGGCAGAACTAGGATTGGCCTTGGATGCCTTGGTAAGAAGGTCTGAGCTGTTCTAGCTCATTTTAACCATTTTAGTGTACAATTCAATGATATTGGTGCATTCACAATGTTGTGCAACTATTACCACTATCCATTTCCAGAACTTTCCATTATTCAAAATAGGAAGTCTGTGACCATTAAACAATAACTCCCCATTCCTCCTCTCCTGGTACACAGCATCACAATATTTGTCCTTTTGTGTCTGGCTTATTTTACTTAACATGATGCTTTCAAGATTCACCCATATTGTAGCATGTATCAATATTTTACCACAATTTTTTATTGTGATAAAATACACATAATATTTACAATGTTAAACTACTTTTAAGTATACAGTTCAGTGAATTAAGTGCATTCATATTGTTGCAACCATCACCACCATCCATCTCCAGAACTTTTTTTATTTTGCAAAACTAAAACTGGGTACCCATTAAACAGTAACTTCCCCTTCCCTATCCCTCCAGCCACTGCCTGCCAACCAACATTCTACTTTCTGTCCCTATGATTTTGACTACTCTAGGTACCTCATTTAAGTGAAAGTATACAGTATTGTCTTATGTGACTGGCTTATTTCACTTAGCATAATAATGTCCTCAAGGTTCATCCATAGGTCAGAATTTTATAGCATATGTCAGAATTTTCTTTTTCAAGGCCGAATAATATTCCATTGCGTGTATACACTACATTTTGTTTATCCACTTATCTGTCGATGGACATTCAAGTTGCTTCCATCTTTGGCTATTGTAAATAATGCTGCTATGAACATGAGTGTGCAAGTATCTCTTTGAGACCCTGCTTTCAATTATTTTGGGTATATATCCGGAAGTGAAATTTCTGGACCATATGGTAATCCTATTTTTAAATTTTTGAGGAAGTGCCATATTGCTTTTCACAGTGGCTGTATCATTTTACGTTCCCACCAACAGTGCACAGGGCTTCAATTTCTCCACATTCTCATCAACAAAAGAAATTTCACTTTTATTTGAGGATGAGAAGCATTGTCATGCATGCATATGCCACATTTAAAAAATTCCATTCATCCGTCGATGGACTTTTGGGTTCTTTCCATCTTTTGCTATTTTGAATAATGCTGCCATGAACATTGGTGTACAAGTATCCTGGTCCCTGAGTTCAATGTTTTTGGAAGTGGACCTGCTGGAGCATAGAGTCGTTCTATATTTAACTTCTTGAGAAATCTACAGACTTCTGAGAAATCAGAGACGGTGCTCTGTAAGTTAGCTCTGGTCATCCTAGCCTTCTTCTGACCAGACATCCCCGGTGGGTGGGGAACGCCCCCCTCCTTCCGGCATCCACACTGCCCACCTCCCCCACTGGGTTGCTTTGGGAAAAGCACTTCTCTCAGCCTTTCTTACACAGAGGTCCGAGCGGCTCAACTGATGCTGACCCCAGTGTCCAGTTGGGCTCATCCAAGCGAACGAGGTTTGGGTGGGTCCCAGCGTGTCCTGTGCGGGCGGTGCTATGGGCAGGGGCGGAGGCTGCTCCCGGCGCTTTGAAACCTCACCAGCGAAGCCGGCCGTGTCCACCCACTCCGGCGGACGCGCGGGGCTGACCAGGTGAGACAGCCCAGAAGTCCCGGGCCCTGGGGCGGGCACAGCCCTGCCCGATGGTCACCTCCGGCGCCGAGTCCCCATGAGCCCAGCTCCCAGCGCGGGCGCCCTGGGTCCCGCCCGAGGCGGCCGTTCGGGAGACTGAGTCCCGGAACGCGCGCCACCGGCGGGCCCGGCCCCCTCCGGCGTGTCCCGGTCCGGAGCGTGCGTGCCCGGCGACTCCTCGGCACCCCCGCTTGGAGCCCGGACCCCGAGCACGCCCTGCGGGAACGCGGCCGCGGGTGCCTGGGTGCCCCTCGGCCACCCGGGGCGGGGACAGCGAGAGCGAGGAGGCGGCGCGGGACACGGGTGGGCCTCGCTGCAGAGCCGCCCGCTCTCGGACCTGCCGCGGCGCCACGAGCGCAACCCCCGCCGCAGTCGGGAAAAGAGCCGGGAGAGAGGACGAGAAAAGGGACTTGTTCTTTTCCGGGGGAGATGCCGCTTTGTCCTCGGACCCGGAATAAAGAAACCCGACCTGGTCCGCTGGGCGCCGGGATGGGGATGCGGCAGGTACGGAGCGCGCCCGCCCTTCCCGGGAGATGCCCGGGAGATGCTCCAAGGACCCCCGCGCCGCACCGGCCCGCGGCCGGGCAGGAGGCTTTGGCGTGGGGGAGGGGGGCTTTTCGGGGAGACTTGGCAGGTGGAGCTCAATTCTTTCCGGGGAGCCGGGTACCCCGCTCCTTGCCCTTTTGGTTGTAGCCGGCCGAAGCCGCCGAGGACAAAGGCTTGAGAGGCAGGCGGAGGGCTGGATCAGCAGGGGCTGCAAGGTGGCTTCCAGGGTTTGGCGGAGGAAGGGTCTGGCCAGGGGCCGGCGCTAACCGGCAGGGTCCCCAGTGGACACTGATGGGAATAGGGTTCTTCTGG